AATTCTCTGAGTTTTATTAGGTGTCATGAAGAATAAGAGTAAAAAAAAAGACAACGGGGAAATAAAAAAAAGTTGATGGATGAAATTGGTGGAATTGCTTAATAGTGACAAACAGGGGAATAGTTGAATAGTCAAATAATAGCCTAAAAAGAATATCTGTGGTTGAAGAAAAGAAAAACCTCTTTGCTACTTTACACACAATAAATAATGATAGAACCCCTTTTGGAAATATGAATAGATTGTAGTTAACATGATACTGGGGTGAATGACTAAGACATTATAAATATGTCAAGGAAATTGCCAACATATATGCATAATATATACAACACTGATCTGCTGGTCTCAAAGGCAGCCTTACTTAAAAATAAAACTGAAACAAATGATCATCATTCAGGCCTCACTCACAGCCAAAACTCTTGCCCCATTTTGAGTCATTTATGTTTCACAGAAGTGGTAAGTTAACGTAAAGGGACAGTTTCAACCCAAATTCAACAGTATGTATGTCAATACCTGTAGTGCTAATAGATAGTCTGGTGTGAGTTGCCATGTGTTTGTCATATTAACCACAGAGATACACTATCAGCCTTCTGTCCAGATGACTGGAACCAGCACTTTGCTTGTTTACAAAGAAATACATTGGAAGAGCTCAACAGCATATCTCTCAACAGAAATCATGACCTTGTTACTCAAAACATTCCACAAAGCTTGTTGTGAGCAATCTCATGTTGGAACTGTTTTCTTCATCGATTTCTCTACGGCCCATATCTCCAACATTCCCATCTTAACAATCTTGAGTAATAAAACGTTAAACAGTCCCTTTGTGAAAACATATCTATTGAATCATTTCAAATCATCACGTATAGAGTCATTCTTCCGAAAGTGTATTTGTTTTGAATAGAGAAATTGATTCCTAAATGTTTTTTTCAGCATTTGTGAGAGGTAAACATGATTCTTTAGATGCAATACTTTACAGTACTCGTCACTAAACTGTATAAGAATAGTTCTGACAGAGTTTGATATTTTTCTGTAAAGATAGTTTGGAGGAATCAGCCAATCACAACAGAGCTAAAGTAAGAAGAGGACTCCAGCCACAGCAGGTTTTAGGTTTCAGTCCAGGAATAGTTGTTGGGTCCGACCTTAGACCTTCTCTGGATGCTATATCTTGGTGTTACTAATCAGTACGCTAAATGAACACCGGCCATAGCTACAGTAGCACAATCGACAATTTGTGTACTCCTTTCTACTTTGTAAAGCATAAAGGAGACCAGAAGCAGATTTGTATTTCTCCTAAAGTTTGACGTTTCTTTGTACTTCTGACATGTTATATGTCGCTCTAGGCTGTAGATATTTTCTGACAGTGCTGCCATGCTTTAGCCTGCAGTACCATCTGATATTCAATCCTGCATCAGTGTCAGGTCATCAGCAGACACAAGCTGTTGGAAACAACGACACAGATCCTCAACAGCACATCGTGGAAGCACATGGACCTGAGCCACATCATCTGATCAAATACACTCCGAAAACACATATTCTACTCAGCATATACCTTCACTGAAAAAACTCCAACTTGACTTTAATTGAATGTATTATGTCAACAGATTTCACACAACTGTATTAGTTTAGTTGAAAGCAATACTATTACATTTAAATACAAAATATTAGGTTCAACTTATTATTATTGCTTTTAACTAACTTAAAGGTGGGGTAGGTAAGTTTGAGAAACCGGCTCGAGATATACTTTTTGTTATATTCCATGGAATGCTCTTAACATCCCGATAGCAATGAATATCTAAAGTGCTTTGACAAAAAATCCATAAAAAATGTGATCTGTGGAAGCCGTGGTACTGTATAAAGCACGACCAATCATTTTAGCCGGCCCGGCTAAAATAACTGGATGGCCTACCTGCCTGTCAGCCTTCCATCTGTGCACAAACTTATCTCGTGCCCTCATTGGTCATGTGCGCGTTCGTGTGTGTTGGAGGAGGGGCTCTGTAAGGAAGGGGCAGATTTTTTCCGGCTGTGTATTTTCAAATTCTACTGCACTCTAGCTGGTTTCTCCAAACCTACCCCACCTTTAATACAGTTATGTGACATTTGTTGACATAATACATTTAATTAAAGTCAATATTTCAGTATTTTTCAGTTCAAAGGTTGGCATTTATCTTAAGCAAATAGGAAAATATTTATATCAATTGG